TTTTTCAGTTCACCTCAATTTTCCTTGAACTGACTCCTCACATAATAGACAAAGGAACAAAGGGAAATGATCAAGCCAGTGAGTACCAGACGGATCTACCTAAGTACACATACCATTAGCAGATCACTAATATCTTATCGTTAAAGTAACAAAGACAGTATGACAGTTGTAAAGAGTTTTTTACGATTTTTTGTTGTTTATGCATATGTTAGATCTTGCCAACGTAAGGCCTTCATATTCTTTTTTTGATTAACTCAACAATTTTTATAAATAATCGGATAGAGATGACAATAATTTTCTTATAATTAATTATACATATGTGTTAAAAAATGCTGGTTAAATTCTCCATAGCCGAAAACATAAAGAGAAGCTCAAAGCTTGAATAACTGAAGTTGAATTACAATCATTTTTCGGATTTTTCGGGATATATATCCAGACTGAGATGAAACCCAATAACATGCAGTGGCCGGTCGAAGAGCGCCACTTGCGCCTGCAGCTGGGGGAGCAAAGGGTGGCAGTAGCCAACGCAAGTGGCGCTGTTCGGCCCGCCACTGATAACATGGTACAGTATCTTCGATAATGATTGACATTGGCGCATGTCTATTCATCATTTGCTAACAGAAAGATCGAACAGTCTCTTTCTCTTTCAAATAGTTGTATACATACTAAAGTTTCAATAATTGTTCGAAGAAGAAAAGGTGAATATTATTTTTAGGATCTAATTCTGTGTAAATATTCCATCAATATAAAGAACCAAATATACCACTAATTGTGCTTTTTTTGAAGATTTTACATTTTTAATGAGATCGAAAGCGAAAAAGACCTTTCTAGCAATTAGTACTACAAAATAACGCATTGCAATTTTGTGTTTTTTCACTGAAATGTAAGCCCCCTTCCACCCTTATAATAGAAGACCACATGTTCTTCTGTTTTGTCCGGCAAATCAAGTTCTAAAGGATGGTCTACTATCGCAGTCAAATTTTGTCGTCTGCTAGTAGTCCGACGATAACCCCTCATACTTGAAGACCATACCCCAACAGAAGAATATTTTGGCGAAATTTTTTCGAAAATTGTCCTATAGAAATTGAAATGGTATAGGGCATTTTTCGATTTTTTTCGTAAACACGATAGATAGTGGCCTTCTATTTGGCTTTCAAGTCGTATAATAGCCGGTGGTCTTCTAATAGTGGGTGGTCTTCTATTATTTTTACTGTGCAAAAGAGAAGTAGGAAACTGGGTTCATTCATTGAGAATGTCCAGATCCTCGTTAGCTAAATATTTTTACTCAAACATCGGACATCTTAATTCGAAGCGGTCATGGTTGGTTCTTATCAAGAAGAAAATGGCGTAACTATCGTGAAATATATTTCAGTCGATTCTGTTTACTGACATGCGATTCGTTTTATCATCCTTTTTCATACCACCATATTACGTCTTTCTCTCTCACGCGCATTAAACTAGTTTATCCTTACATTTCTATTCCTTAAATTAATAATTACGACTGCTAAAATTCATGGAAGTGAAACAAATAGAAACCAATCTATAATATACTTTCCTCTTACTTTACAACGATTCAAGGTATCATTAGCTGTTGAGAAAATAGCTTCGTTTCCTTTTTTCGTTTTGACATTGCCTTCCTTATAGATGACCTTCATAAGTCATCTTCTACCATACATGTTTATCCCAAAAAGTCAATTTAAACTGTGTTAGTTAATACGGCTTGCTGTAGATTTTGATGTTGATTACCGACTGTTCAACTGAGATGAAAAATTGAAAGGATTTAAATATGTCAAAAATTGTCGTTTAATCTCGTACGGATTCACCTGAGCGTCTGCTCTATGTGCCATGTGGCATACGATACAATCCAGACTGTAGTCCTCTGTATAATTGAAATAGCTGAGGAGGTTCTGAAAATGTTTTGTCACTTGCCTACTACGCCATTGATGATAAGTTTCATAAAGAGTTTTATTCTCTGCTACTCGATTGAGAAATTTAGCAGCGTCTTGTGGCGTTTTGAATTTTCTCAAATCAATAATACAATTTTCACACGGTAACCATTCATCGATGTTTGGAGCACCCAGATAGATGGGTACACTGCCTGCAACTAAAGGCTGCCACAATTTTTCTGTAACATAATCGTGGGTCAGACTATTCTCAATAGCTATTGTAAAGAGGTATTCACTTGCCAAGGCCATTTTTCCGTCCTTCCAATTCAGTTTATCTCGCTCTTTACTTTCTCCACCTTGTATTTTAACTATATGTGGCGGTAAAGCTTTTTTATTTGAGAGACACTCTCCCCAATTATCAACATCAATATATTTCATAAGTTCGGTCATATATTCTGTGCGATTGGATGGTGTTTGACAATTCGAGTTCATCCACATTATAGGTGCTGTCACATATGTCTTACGACTTGTATACATCTTATTCTTATTTTCTAAGACAGAATTCCAAGGACGAGAACCGGTAGAAGTATTTTTTGGATAAATGAGTGTTTTCATTCTGCTTACATGTAGAAAACGCTTTGGTTTTTTTATAATCATTTGTGCATATTCTAGTACATACCCTGGCGTTGCTATATCATAAAGTGAACGATCATAACCCATTGTTATGTCGAATAATCGAATTTTTTTATAATCACCAGCCCATGGATAATAGGCGATCGATTCACCATTAAATAGCATACCCCACATAGTATCATGACTTCGATATTTACTCAAAACATTAATCCAAAGTTCGTCCGTTATTTTTGTCAAACCTTCGATAATAACAGATGGATATGAATATGAACTTTGATTTTTCATAGCATTACGAAATAAATTTAATGAATGACTACTTTTACAATGAATATCTGCATTTTGATGTTCGGCTACTTTTTTTCCTTCCCTTGTGCACATGACATCATTCATTGTGCCAGCTTCAACTGACGGTGGATCGATATAATGACAAGGCAGTTCGAAACATTCTCCATCATACGCTTTGCAATGTGCATCCGCAATTGGTTTTAACTCAACTGGTACGCTACATAGAGGCACATTCAATGCGGCCAAAATGCGAGGATTTATTAGACCAAGTTCATTTCTCCATCTCATAAAATTAAATATATATTTAATTTTTTTTTCTTCTGTCAGTACTTTTGATTGCTCTTTTGTACTTTTGTTAAATACATTTTGACAATTAATCATGGCTATTCTTCGTTTGCAATCGAGTTGATGCAATCCGAAATGGAATGCTATTGCCACTGTACATAACCATGCAACGAGAATTAGTGATCGTGAGTAACGAGTCCATGAACTTGTCGATTTCAAACCCATAATCTTTTTTGTAATAGTTTCTCATCTAATAAAATATAACTAATTCATAGTGATATCGCTGACATACTGTACATAGATATGTCTTCTTGAATGAATGCTTTCGTTTTGAATCAACTTACCTTTATAGGTAAATTTTTAACCATCGTACATATTTCTCCTTATATTATTACAATATTAATAAGATACAGGTATTACATGAAACACCTTTATCGGCTATAATATACAATTTATAGAAAATGAAATCATCAAGTATAACGAAATCCATGCTTAAAATGTTTAACGTATTTTTGCCTGGTCGAAATAATATGAACAAAAGACGAAATATTTGTTTATTAATAAGATGCTAAAGGAAAGTTAATCAAATGCTCATAGCTTGGAAAATACACATCAGTCGAGATTTTGATTTTCTAAAAAATGAATTCGCATTCGCTGGGAATTCATTTCGGTATGCAATGGATTCGAATCCATAGTCCAAAGTATCCTCTGCAAACTGGGAACTAAGAAAACTCTTAGTTTTTTTCCGGTTCAAGCGTACATATCAAGATGTACTCTATTTTACCTGCTATATATAATGCAGCTCAATAACAGCTAAAAAAGCCAATAGAAAATACTTTGGTCTTTGAGAGAGTTTTCTAGAAATCTTCCGAAGTACAGCAACGCTTCTTACTATACTTAAGTAGAAAAACATATAGACCAGGTAAAATCGAGTACATCTTGATATTCTGACGTAATTTGGATGAATCTTGGCTAGGTTATAAATTCTTTAATTTTACTCAAATATAGGCAAAAATGGGTTATTCCACCTACTATAGGTTTTTACTAGGTTTTTGCTAGTGTTTTGAAAAGCAAATGTTGCCACAAGATTCAGCGTGGTCGATTACCATGTTTCCATTTATTTTAGGCCACACTGAAAGAAATATTGATTCTGCGACTCTCTGCAAATCCGATGCCACGCTTGAACCGAAAAAAACTAAGAGTTTTCTTAGTTCCCAGTTTGCAGAGGATACTTTGGACTATGGATTTAGATGTCAGTTCCTAGAGATCTAAACTGGTTTTCCACAGATTTGCTCAAAATCCGATCTTAGAATCTTTTTTAAAAATCACTTTGGCTTGTGGAAAAATGCGTACAGACATTGGCTATCGAGTAGTGAAAACCGCAGGTCTCTGTCTATCTTCTATCAAAAGTTACTGTAAAAGTAACCGCCAGCCTTGTCTTTTGGAACGGATAGTAGCTTACGTTACGATCCAGCGCGAATTCTCTCTTATTTTGTGACTATTTTGGGTCATCATGTATGTGTAGTAATGAAAATAACTTCGCCAGAGGCATGTCTATGAAAAACGGGTTTTTCTCCTGTTACTAACAAAAATTAAAATCCTTATATCTCGATCAAATCTGATGTTGACTCAAGGAAACTTTCAGAAAAGGCTTAAAAGGCGTCATATATTATTAAACAAGTCGAAAAAGTGGTCCGAAGTATGATAACGAAACGTTTTGTTCGGTTCCATCTAGCATATCCCAAGCAAATATCACCTATGGGAAAAAT